GATCACAACAGTTAAGTCTAAAATTTCATACGGCAAACAGAATGATAATAAGAATAAACCAGGCACATAATGATCCAAATTTTTCTTTAAATCTACTCAAGTCATACACCTGTTCAGGCAGTCATGTACATGAAGATGAAGAACTGATAGAGATTAATATTTATCTCCAGTGTCCAGAATATACTGCTGTATGGAGCTGAAACATTGAGAACAACTAAAACAGTTGCTAGTAAACTATAAACATTCATTAACTGGTGTCCTTGCAGAATAGAGACAATCAAATGGTATGGTGGAACCACTAAGGAGGAGCTTTGGGAGAGAACTAAACAAACTCCAGGGAATTAGGAAGTAAAGAAAAGACACTGGGGTTTGATGGAACAAACATTCAGAAAACTTGAGAACATTATAATAGGGATGTCTTAACATTGAAACCCACAGGGTTAAAGAAATGAAATCAGACTAAAACCATTAAGAAGGAAACTAGAAATTGAAGTTAAAAAGATAGGGAGGACATGGAGTGAACTGCATGTAACAGCCAAAGATTCCTGGCAGAGCAGTTGAGAGTCTATTCTCCAGGGGTGGATAAAAATAAAAAGAGAAAGATTTTAAATACATATGCTTTAATGTCATATACAAGGAATGCATACAAAAGAAGGCGGAAAACAACAGAATTATGTTTTTCCTAAGCCTTATCTCCATTTTGCCTTTATTCTCCGTGTGAATTTAAAATGGCAATTTTTTACAAAATTAAGACAGTGTAATTAAAAAAATGAATGTATACAGCTAGTTTAGAGGCATGTTTCTTTCTTTGAGAATTTATTTGAAAATTGGTTTCTTCAGCTGAACAGTTACCATTAAAATTGAGCAGACTCTTGAAGTGGAAGATGAGCCCAATCACACCAGGTGTTGTCAAAACTGCAGTCGCCCGTGTTGGTTTCAGAATTTCAAAAAGTGAGCAACTACTGTATGTTATATATAGTTTTTATAATTGTTCAGTTCTTGTGAATTTCACAAAACATATAAGTTTTTTTAAATAAATGTTTAAACTGTCTTGGTAAACTGATGAAAATTGTTTAATATGAGTTTTTTTCTGCCGAAAAATTTCTTTAAAATTCAAATGGTCTTATAGTTTGTAAAATATGCTTACCCTTCTGCCGCTATGTATGTGTTTAGCCATTTGCCCAAGACTGCTATGAACATCTTTAGATGAACTGGTTTCTGTGCCCTCCCTGCTATGGCCATGAAAAGAAACTGCTAAGGACCATTATTATCGGGGGTCAAAGGTAAAAAATATTCACAATATTTGGGTCCAAGTGACCAATTTAATAACATTAAACACTTTTCATGTGTTTTCACCTATCATGTGTTTTCACCAGTCTTCAGGAAAGTAGGACTGCGAATCAATTTCTTTGTTTACCCTGGATTAGTGGTTTTGATGGGTTGTTTTTTTTTCAACTCTGACGTTTATTTGTGTTCTCGCATCTTTACATTTTGTTTATATAAAATGGCAAGAAAAGTAATTAAATTTGGTACAGAAGAAATTGAAAGATAAAGGCGAGAGCTGTTGTGGATTGTAATTATGATGATGATAATGATGGTAAGAATGGTGTTTTAAACATTTGATGTATGTATTTGAATTTGTTAGTAGATGCATGCATTAAAATTGTTTATTGTGTGTACATAAATTGTAGATATAAGATTTTTTTTACCGCTGCCATCGTTGATTTATGTTGCTGAATTTGTTTAATACATTTCAGAAAGCCATGACTGGCTGGGTTGTTTTGGCAAGCACATGAAGTCAAGCTGCTTTAAATGCCTTCATGAATATCAAAAGGTTTCAAGACAGATTTGTTTCCTTTTGTATTTTTGAGTATTTCATTTTGCTGACTGTTGTGTATATGTTTTCTCTCTTTAATATTGTTTTATTAGTCACAAAGACACACCTAACAAGAATGCCCTTGTACTATCTGCTACAGCGAGCCACACTAAAACGTTACAATGGGTATAGAGTAAGTAGAAGACCTTGGAAAATATGGAGTGATGGCATTAAGAAAAGCCTTACAAAAATGGACATCAGTCTTAATAGTGCTTTTGACAGAGCTCATCAACAAATGTTTCATCTGCCCCCGACCCTTCGCTGAGGTACAAGGTGGAAGAGAAGAAGTCACAAAGACATGAACACACACATCAGACATTCTACTGGCCACACAGAAATGTGAATTCTGTCTTAAATATGTCAGCTAAGTGACTTTATGTATTCTTGTTCATACTTGTGGCATTGAAGATTCATGTAATGTGATAATATTTGAAGTTTGAACAATGGATCAACATCAAGGCACACAGGAAGTAACCCATAAGTGCTGCGATCTTTTTCTAACTCAAGTCTTAGTCCTAAGAAGCTCAGAACAGTGCACAAGCTGTGTAGCACTGGCGAGGATCCTGAATTGCTTTGGGTAGATTGTTAACTCCAAATTTTTACCGGGCAGCGCCGTTAGGCTACTCTTTTCGATTTTCAACTACCAAGGGATTTTTCACATGCGCAACAATACACATGGGCGTCCGATCTCACTACCCAGAGACCAGGGGGAATTACTAGAAGTCTAAGTCGAAAAAAGTGAAAAAATCCCAGCCCTTACCAGGTATTGAACCCGGAACCTCTAGCAATCGAGGTGGACACTATGCTTTGAGACCACGCAGCCTGATGAAGGCAGAGTCACTAGTCGCAGTGGTCACCTGTCATTTGTGTTTGTGGCATTGTGAAGCTAGCTGGTTGGTTCTACTTTGGTTTGATATCTGTTCATGATATTCAGCCACAATGGGCTGTCGAGATATGAAATGTAAATGTCCCTTTTTTACGCAAGTTTTGGATTGGGAATATTTCGCTAGACTCGTATTTGTACAGGCTATTTGGCACTCAGTGGATGATGTGATCAACATGATGTCGGATTCCTTTATTTCCCAGGTCATTTCTGGTACCCATTTAAGGCTGGGTAAACCTGGAGATGCACAAGTGTAGAATCAGGCATGGTGGTGCGTGCGCCAGAAATATGTTACAGGCTGGACTGGACCTATTTACACAACCACTTGTCATTCTAGAAACAGGTTCCCAGAGGGTCAGGCCAGTGTAGCGGATTAGTGATTGCTTCATGGTTAGAGTGTATCTTCATTGGAGTTTACGGCCATTCAGTGCAAAAAAGAAGAATTTTGTCAGAGAAACTTTTTTTTTTCATTTGTGTGATTTCGACTTGGTATTTGATGATTCTGTTTTATTGTCCATTGATAAGGACTTTAGTTGGAATGTTCAGCCATATTTGTGGATGTCATTTTCTTCTTCTCATTTGAGCTTTTTAGTGTAAATATAACCTTATCATTGTGTCATCATCTTTTCAATCTTAAAATATACTCTTGCACACACAACAAATTTGAAAAAAAAAAGCTCTCTTGAATCTGTTTTCCCCTTGTGGGTTCTGGGGTCCCATTGTGGGGACAGCAAGAATAGACCCACTGCCTCCCCTACAAGCATGTCATAGGAGTCAACTAGATGGCGGGCTTCCTTCAAAGTCAAAAGTGCATGTGCAAGCAGTAAGAAACCACTAGCTATACACAAATAAGCCAGTAAATGGATGTACATGCAAAACTCACCTGGCACAAAGCCAAAGACCAAAATGGACGAACAATCAGGACTTTTTGCCAGAGCTTACAGCCGGTGAAGAAAGAAGAAGAAGATAATCTATTTTTTTTTTTTTTTTTTTGCGTTCACCGGCTGTGAATTCCGGCGGAAGGTCACGGTTAATCATCGGCTTGGACTTTTGGCTTTCACCTGGACCTGATTTTTGCGTGTACAACCGTTTTAATGTTCCCTGCCTCATGGGCAGCTGTACTCCGACTTCGAAGGAAGACGTCAGGCCTATTTCTAGGTTGACTGTGGCCATTGTTTTGTGTGGGTCAAGACGTTGCCTGATTTGTGTGGAGTCCACTTTGTCTCCTTCTCCATAGGTATTGCCCCCAGAGTACCCCTTTGGGGCAGCCCGCTGTGGAACAGTTAGCCCTCAAGGGAAGGCAGGGGCAGATCAAGGGCATTCCCCGCCATCCAAGGAGGCTTCCATGTATGCAGAGCCGGCACATGGCGCTCTGGTTCTGGGCTCACCCAAGGAATTGTCACGTCCTGCACATGCCTGCTTAACCTCACAACCGTATCAGGCTTCCCGCTCGACAAGAGGTGCGCCCTTTGGTAGTCATCGGGGAGCAGCCTGTGGATTTTGGACTTTTGTGACCACACGAATAGGTACATTCTTTTTTCTTCGCACGTTAGATTTCTTTGACGAGCCGTTAGCCCGACATAATTTTACATCCTGCATCAGGTACAGCGTTGTCAGTTTGGTCCCAACACTCGGGCGAGTGGGGTCTTTGGGTGTGGACATTTGGTCTTTTTCTGTTCAGTACAAATTGTGGTGTTCAGGTTTTGAGCACACTCGTGCGCCGTAGGATCTAGTTTTGTCGGACATTTAGGCTTGGCCAGCCAATGGGCTGTTGCTGTTGTGGTGTACCTCAGCACGGTGACGACAACACTAAGGGTTACACAAGGATGTACATGGCTGGCCAGCCTATGTATGGTTGCTGTTTTGGTGTACCTCAGCGCGTTGACGACGACACTAAGGGTTAACCGAGGATGTACATGGATGGCCATCCTCTGGATGGTTGCTGTTGTTGTGTACCTCAGCGCAGTGATGACGACACTGAGGGTTAACCGAGGATGTACATGGATGGCCAGCCTAGGGATGGTTGCTGTTGTGGTGTACCTCAGCGCGGTGACGACGACACTGAGGGTTAACAGAGGATGTACAGTGAACAATGTTCTCTTCACTCCGCATTCTTTTAACCAAGGGTTGTGATTTTTAGCTGTACGTTTGGCAAGCATACTCATGTTCCTAATGAGTTTTGATAACCTTTTTCACCCAAGCGTTTGGGGGCGGGCTGATGAGAGCCACAAGGACACATCACCTCTGGGGGCTGCCAAACTCCGAGATCCCCTGACAGCTCTGTTAATGCTCGTTTGAGACATTATCCGTGGCGCACGACGAGGACGTGCTGCAGGGGTCTTGCGTGAGGTTCCGTAAAACCAGAACAGTGAAGGACTGGCGCCCGAGTGACGTACGGAGTATCTCCTTATACACATCATGTTGGACTTAACTTCCCCTCACACCTGTGACATAAATCACCGTGCCACAGATAATCTATCTAAATCACCACTAATTACTTGCAGCCAGAGAGTGAAGTTAAAAAGATGGGAAAGACATGGAGAGAGCTGCATGCTATGAATAGTAAAGGATAGAATGACTCGGCATGAGTTGATTGAGTGCTTGTGCTCCTTTTGAGGATAGAGGGCAGAAGAGGAAGAATTACTGGCATAACGAGGACTAATAGATTACAATGGCTGGGGTAAAATAAAGAAAATGGCAGATAAAAGAGACAAAAACTGCATACACAAAGAGAGGATTGGGAGTAGACCACAGGGCAGATCAAAAAGCCCATGAAGAGATAATATACTGGCAAACCTAGAAAAAATTTTAGTCAGCAACTATAAACAGAAAGCCAATCACAGGGATGAATGGTGGCAGATGATATCTGCAGCAATATAATAAGAAGGACTAACAGGGAAGCTGTACAGCAGGAGTCTACCAGTCATCAGTAGAAGATCCCTCTTTGACAACTGTTTCGGCCCATTACCTTCTAGACAACTTCAGAGGGTGGGCTGACCTGGGTCATGACTACAAGGCCTTGATCTTCTCCTGCTGCACTTTACCGGATGTTTTTGGACAGGGACAAGACAAAATGGTGACTATGCAATGGGTTAAGTTTAGTTGCGTATCCTTTACAGGACATTGTAGAACCAACCCCAGCAGCCCCTGGCTGTTGTGTGGTTTCTCGAGGCAAATTACATCCAGTAGTTTACCATTACTTTCTGGATGGTCGGCTCCTGATACCACTGTCGAAACCAACGCAAGGCGCAAGGCTGCAGCTGGGATCGAACCCGGCATTATGAAGCGTTCACATCGACTTAGCCACAGAGCCAACATGTAGTGGGTACTGTGAGATAAATAACATTGGCTCAGAATACTGAAGAAGTTAAAGAATAAATCACATTATGAAAAAGTTTATACCATTTATATATCATTTGCTGGCTGGAGCCACTTTCTTATTATCAGATTGCTCTTATTTGCCTTTAAAACCGAAGCACTTTCCATCGAGAACAAAATCCTAAAGACCCAGTCAGCCTCCTCACATGAAAGAAAAGACCTCTGTATTTGAATGTGAACTGGACAGACTCTGCAGCCTTATGTACTAGAAATTCATGTGGACACAAAACACTGAACATGTGCCGCTGATATGCTCTCTCTCCATGCACTAGAAAGATTCCAGGTCCGGCCATTTGAAATTCCAGTTGAAATGTGGCCTTCATGTGACCTTCTCATCTGAAAACCGGTAGCAAGGAAAATGAAAAGATTAAAAAGAAAACATTGTAAGTGGGAAATTTATATCACCATAAGGGGTTGTCATCTATGTGAACTAAACCCCTACAAACTCTTTTTTCCCCTCACATTTGTGTTTTTTCACTTGCAGCTAAACCACTTCCCAGGGTCCTTTCAGATTGGTCGTAAAGACAAACTGTGGCGGAGCCTTTCCAAGATGCAGGTGCACTTTGGGAAGCAGGAGTTCAACTTTTTCCCACAGACGTTTATTCTTCCTGCTGACATCAAACAGCTGAAGCAGGTCTGGGAAGAAAGTAGCAAGCAGAAGTGGATTGTAAAACCAGTAAGCGTGACAAAGCATGAATGTCAAACATTACATTCTGTCTTTCTAATCTTTTCCTCACGTATTGTAAGATGTATGACCTATGCTGTTTTGGAAACAAAAAATTGAAAGAAACATAAATGTATCATTAACTGTTTCAGTTCCAGGAAGGCATTTATTCTTTAAAATCTCTTGTATCTTAAGGATTTATTGCCCAAAATAAAAACTATCTTACTTAGTCTAAAATGATTCAAATAGTTCCATTATGCACCCCCCCCCCCCCTCCCCCCTTTCAAGAAAAAAAAAGCTAAAAGAAATGGAGTAGAATAAGTTAATATTACAGCTTGCAAGGTCACATACAGTTGATAAAAAACACATTAAAAAATGCAAGGTGAATAGCTTAGTAATGAAAAACTTAAATACTGAAATATGTTTCCATATTAGCAAATACCATCTGCTCTGTTCAGTTATTATTGTTAACATGTGCCAACATGCATAGCTGCACTTGGGTGATCATGTTACTCCACAAGTGTTATCTGAGTTTGACTGCTGGTTGTCCTTGATGCCACTTTTCAATTAGGATTGTTACTGAGGAAAGATGTTGCTTTAGGTAATGATTTTTTAGAGACTAGTAGCATGTGGTAGTTTTTCCCTTGTTTTCCTACATCCACATAACTTTAGAACACACTCTCAGAATCATGTGCCCTGCTGATCAGCATGGCTGCTCAGGGTTTACCTTCTCACATGATGACCAGAGTCTCAGTCAAAGTCTGTTCTTGACTGGATTTTACAATGTGGACAAGACATTCAGAATGTTATCTCTTTTTCTTCTGTTTTTCAATCAAGTTTCTTGGTTGTTCTTCCTTTGAAGTTGGAGTGCATCTACATCGGAGGCAAGGAACCAGCAGTGTGCATACAATTAACAGATTTGTAAAACAGATATAGTAAAAGTAAAGATCCCTTTTCTCGCCTTTAGGCGTATTGGGAATATCGGAAGAACGCCCATATTTTTATGGACGTTCGGCACTAGGTGGGTAATGTGGTCAGCATTACGCCGGTCATCTTGACTTCCCCATGACAGCCATCCTGGTAAGCTGGGTCAATCTGCGACGCACCATACCATAATAAAAATCCACACGTTGGAATTATGAGTCAGACTTGCAATGCCTAAGCCACGGATGCTGCTAAACATATGTACATGCAAAATCTAATTCTGGAACGAGACCAAAGCTGATGAACTTTCCACCAAAGTTTACAGCCGGTTAACACTAAAAAGAGTTGGTTGCCACAAAGTTGTATGTGTGTCCCCTATGTGAGGAATTATCCCATGATTGTACACTGAAGTACTATTTGTATTGATGACATTTGTTTAACATAGCTGTCAGTTACCAAACATATTTTATTGCTTTCCCCCCAATTCCCCCTTTCAGCCTGCCTCTGCAAGAGGTATAGGTATTCGTGTTATTAGCAAATGGTCTCAGATACCACGACGTAGAGCTGTCATAGTTCAGAGGTTAGTCACTTTTATTTTTGTGTATGTATGAAGATGCTTCTTGTTTTCCAGATAGTAGCACTGATATAAATTTACTCCGATAACTTAAATTATAATAACCGTTGAAGAGAAAATATAAAGAAACTGACATAATGTTTTAATAACATCTCTACTGTTTTAGGGGAGTCACAGTATCGCAACAGCTAGATCAGTATTTTTCAACCCTTTTCAGTCGGTTTCCCCCTCCCCCTTTTTCACTCATATATGTGGAACACCCCCTCCTCCCACCGCCCCAGCAAAAAAAAATTATTTAAAAAAAGGATAAAATGCTATGCACTGTTAGCTTGAGGAGAAAAACATCCACATAAAGCGTAGTGTCAAATAATGTATTTTTAAAAAAAATGAACAACTGGTCATTTAGTGTCCAAATGCCAGTGTAATGGTTGACACTGTTTTGACTTGATAATGTCTGCTATTTTTGGTCTGAGTGTTGGACAGAGCACAAATGAATGTGTTTAAAAATGTTAGAATAACAGATTATCACAAGTACAGACAAATCAGTTTCAAAATTGCTTAACGCCTTGAAACTTCACCAGTGGGGTGCACCTTCAGGTTGAAAATCACTGGTCTAGATGCTCACCTACTGACCCAAAGGTTTCAGTTTCAGATCCACATCACCGTGGATTTTTGGACAGTTGTCTTTTGCTCTCATATTGGTCAGCCTAAATGGGTATCAAGAAATTTCTTGGGAAGTTGGAAAGTAAAGACCACAGATGTGGTGAGAACTTCGTCATCCATTGAGTGACAGTTGGTCTAGCACTACATACCCAAAGCACTAAGTGCCCAAAGCACTACATGCCCAAAGCACTAAGTGCCCAAAGCACTACATGCCCAAAGCACTAAGTGCCCAAAGCACTACATGCCCAAAGCACTAAGTGCCCAAAGCACTACATGCCCAAAGCACTAAGTGCCCTAAGCACTACATGCCCAAAGCACTAAGTGCCCAAAGCACTAATGGTGTAAAAAGACTACTTTACTTTTACTTTACTCTCTGCATTATGGCTTAGCAGTGGTCCAGGTTCAATCCCTAGAAGTGACAGGATTTCTCTATGAGTATGACTTTGAGTTAAACCCAGCCTCATACAAATTGGTGGGAGTAGCTGAGGTATAGCAGCTGCTAGACGCTCGCCTATGGATTGGAAGGTCTTGGGTTCGAGTCCTGATGGTAGCAGACTTTTTTTTTTTTTAAATGACCTTGGCTCCCACATTGAGCTAGCCTTGAATGGGTACAGGTGGATTCCTGGAAAGTAAAGGTGGCTAGTGTGATGCTGCCCACATCACACACCAAGTGCTGATGGTCTATAAAATATAGGTCTTGCCTTATATGCCCAGTACGCCTGAAGGCATGAAAAAAGGGTCCTTTACTTTTACATACAAATTGTTACAGGCTATTTTCTTAGAATTTTGGGAAAAGGAAAGGCACTAAAAAAAAGACAATAGAGTCCATCTCACTTCTTGTGTCATGCCTAGAATATATGAAAGTCTAACATTACACATCTCAACTGCTTTATCTGTTTTGGGTGTATTCTTACCTTTACTGCGTTGGAGGTACTCAGTAGCTAGCCTGCTTGTCTGCCCATTGCTCATGTTTTTAAATCTCTTAACTAGGCAAGGTTTTTTTTTTTTTTTAAATAATTGACTTTGTATAACTAGAATATTCTTTCACTTTAATCAGCATAATATAAAAATGGAGACCTAAAAACGTACAGAGAAAAGAATCAGAGACAGAAATGAGATTTCTTAGAAGAGCTGTCAGATGTGACAAGAAGAAACACAAATTTAAAAACAACAAATTAGAAGACAGGGACTAAAACCAGTTTTTACAGCTGACTAAAGAAAAGATGGTTTCATCTGATGGCAATGTCCTGGTACCAACTGCTAAAGAACCTTGCTAAAGAAATGCAATGAAAACAGAGCAAGGGGAACAAAAGATGGAACAGTGGCATCATTAACATCTTAAAGAAATTAAGATTAGCTTATGTAACACATTAGAAAGAGCACACACACACACACACACACACACACACGCACGCACGCACGCACGCACGCACACACACACACACACACACACACACACACACACACACACAATATCTTTCGCCATAACTTTGTTGAAAAGTTTTATATATTATAACTGTTATTGTCCTTATCCAGTGTCATTTTAAAATATTAATTTCAGATACATTCACCGCCCATTTCTGATTAATTCCAGCAAGTTTGATTTGAGAATTTATGTCTATGTAAGTTGTTACGACCCACTGCGCCTGTATGTCTATGAAGATGGTCTAGCCCGTTTTGCCTCATGCAAGTACGTATAATCTTTCTACACTGTGAATTCATATACATACAATGTGGTTTCATATTCTGCTTTATAATTCTCAGTCCTTTTAACCCCAACAGCCACCCCTGTGCTGGTTTCGGGGACCCATTGGAGGACGGTGGGGGATAAACACTTACCCCTTAACCAGCATGTTGTAAAATTGATAAATTAGGGGTGTTTCTTTTTAATTCAGAGTTCATCTGCCTGAGAGGCTAGGAACCAGCAGTCTGCATACAAATGTGCTGGATCTGTAAAATGGATGTGCATGCAAAACTCAACTTCTGGAACATGACCACAGACTAGAAGTGGACCAACAACCAGAATTTTCTGGCAGAGTTTATAGCTGTTAAATGCTATGAATAAGAAAAAGGAATAAACTCGATCACCAAACTCATAAAAGCCATTCCTTTGGAACTCCTGAGCAAAAAGTTTACAAATATATACATATATGCACTCTCACTCACACAGTCTGTCTTGCTGTGTCATATTTAGGGAAGTTTGGGAGACTGAAAATAAAAAATACTCACACATACACACTCACACATGCACACTCACTCACTCACTCACTCACTCACTCACTCATTCACTCATGTTTAGTGCAGTCTGAATGACTAAGGGCAGACCAGGGGACTAGTGAGGCAAATACCAGTTGAAGTTGTCAAAGAAAGAAAGATTTGCAAATGAGAAGTCTCACCATTAAATCTAGAAATTGACTGTAAATGCAAAGATAATTACGGTAAATCAGACTTATGATACTTTTTTTTCTTTTTTCTTTTTTTTTTTTAGCTGAAACATCAGTTTAAGAGGATAAAATCATACACATATTCAGACAGCAATGTAGCCAGAGCTGAAGACTATATGTAGTTATAGAAATGAGGATACATAATGCTTGAGGACCCTCAAAGTCAAAGTTGAGAGGACTGACTTCATTGCAGTGGGTTTATCCCATATGGCTCGGTCTCTCTCTGCAGAACAGCTAGCCGCCAGCAAAGAGTGCTGCACAAAGCACGAACTCCACAGCTCTAGCGATGATGCTCAGGAACCTCCATAATAATTGCATTCATGAACTGAAGAACGCAGCTGTGGAGCGAACCCATAACCTGCATAGTGTGAGGCAAACGGCTTGACCTCTTCACCATGAAGACCCCTCAGAGGAATCTTCATAGCACAGGGACATTTCTTTGAAGCCAACAGACATTAACTCAACAACCTAATTTTTGGGGGGTAAAAAATGCAAACACAAACAAAACATTGCAGTTTGTTAGCAGGCATATCTCACTGTATCTCATCAGACGCTATTACTACTGAGTTAAAACAACATAAACTAAAGCATAACAAATAATCCTTTTAGTTGAAATACATAAATGACATGGTCAAGTTAGACTACACCTCTCTACTGGAAATTCCAGATCAGCTACATGATTACGATGGAAACTGAAAATATTATTTTATTCAACATCAAATCAGTGTTGTTGCATGGATCACAAACATAGACTCAGACAAAAAGAGTTATTAAAGATGTTTAAAGGGGAGATGGTTGTTGTCACTGAGCTGGGTTTGATTCCATGTAGCTTGGTCTCAACAGAAGTAATGGTAATTACAAAGAAAATAGACGCTCCAAAATGCAGCATCTAAGTTAATGGGACAATCCTCAAGTAAGTTGATACGTTTAAGTACCTGGGTACCCTGATAACATCAGGTGGAAGATGTATTTAAGAAGTTAATTGTAGAGTATCTCAAGCAAAGACAGCATTTCACAAAATGAAGAATATTTTATGCAATGTTTCTTTGTAGTTGAGAGGAGATAAAGAATTCTTAAGTGCTATATAAATCCTGTCTTGATATAAGGAAATAAATCAGGGACAATTGGAGAATTCGTGAAAAATTTTTTGAAAGTGGCAGAGATGTGATTTTATAGATGAAAGATGAGAAAGAAACTGACTTATGAAGAGAACTGATTGGTAACATCAGAAGGAAACAATCTAAATTTTTTTGTTTACGTCGTAAGAAGGGGAAAACTTGAGTACATTATGATGGTAGGAAAACTGGAGGGGAAAGAGGCAGAAGGAGACCAAGATTGAAGATGCTGGACAGTTTGACTTCATGGCATGGAGGATCATCCATGTCAGAACTGACTGAAAGTACACGAGACAGAAGATTGTGGATAGACATGACTACCAACACCACACATCAGGCAAGAAGAAAAAGCTTGCTGTTTCTCCACATACTGACTGTTCATCCTTCAAGAGCATCACAGAAAATATAGACATTTGGGGCTCAGCAATTACCCTCAGGAAACATCAGATCACCGTGTTCTAAAGTCTACATTACATCAAAGTCTAACACTTCACGTTCCAACAGGTTTCTCATATGATTCCTTTACACAAGTATGTGCAAGCATGTGCACCATGCCTGCATGTATGTGCATGTGTATGTGTGTATGTCAGCCTTAAAATTAATAATGAAATTATGAAACTGTATACAAATATAAGGAAGAGGCAGTCAATATTCTTTGATCATGTGATGAGAAGAAAGGTACTGGAAGACATTGTGATGACTGTACAGATCAGTGGTAAGGGAGGCAGAGGCAGACCATGAGGCATGATGCTTGATGGTCTGAAATGATGGTATGGTGGAATATCATCAGTGGACTTGGTTTAAAATACCCAGGACTGAGATAGATCTGTGAAGGGACGTGAGCGTCTATGCCGCTGGGCAGTGCACATGATGGTGTGTGTGAGTGTGTGTGTGTGTGGAAAGGGGGGGGCAGGGAAGGGTAGATTTACTAATGCTGTTCCTTTCTCACAAAATGTTTTTTTCTTTGTCAGATATTCATCCTCATCAAAGACCTTTAACAACAGATACATGCATTTGACTAACTACAGCGTTAACAAAAAGAATGCAGACTACCTCAGCAATACTGACGACACAGTTTGTCAGGGGCATAAGTGGTATGTGCTGTAGATCTTCCTTCTCTTTCTCTGAATTGTTTCTGATAGATTTTCCTTCAAGGGCAGCTGGATCACCCCTTTTGCACACACGATATCACCTCCATTGAATACATGGGTCAGATCCATTGTACGAGTATAAATGATAACACCTTCATTGAACAAATAGACCATGTCCATTGTATAAATGATATTACCTTCATTGAACACATAAACCATGTCCATTGTATATATGATATCACCTTCATTGAACACATCAGTGACCTCCATTGCACACATATGCCAGATCCATTGTACGATTATATATGATATCACCTTCATTGTACACATAAACCATGTCCATTTTATCTATGATATTACCTTTATTTTACACATAAACCATGTCTATTATATTTATATGATATCACCTTCATTGTGCACATACACCATGTTCATTGTATATATGATATCACCTTCATTGCACACATAGACCATTTCCATTGTGTATATGATATCACCTTCATTGCACACATAGACTATGTCCATTGTATGTATGATTTCACCTTCATTGCACACAAAGACCATGTCCATTGTATATATGATATCACCTTCATTGCACACGTCGACCATGTCCATTGTATACATGATATCACCTTCACTGAACACATAGACCATGTCCATTGTATGTATGATATCACCTTCATTGTACACTTCAACCATGTCCATTGGTTACATGATATCACCTTCACTGAACACATAGACCATGTCCATTGTATATATGATATCACCTCCATTGCACACATCAGTGACCTCCATTGCACACATGGATCACCTCCATTGCATACATGGGCCATATTATTTTATTTTATTCAAGAACCGACATCACAGCACTCGAGGCATTCTCATAAGCACTCCATCCCCATCTTCAGCAGTCAGCCAAGAGTTCTGATACTAATGGTGCCAGTAGCTTTCTGATTAAACGTCCGTCTTGTCTTTCCTCAGAGCCTCAGCCATCTGCCAGAACCTCTCGTCACCCCCAACTGCATCAATCTCACCACACTGTGGTGATCAATCTGTGTCTCCGAACTGTACAAGCTCTTCCACAAGGCACTAACCACGTTTGCCCTATCATGCATCAGTATTCCACCAAGCTGTGCAGAGCCAGCCAGTCTTTCCGCCTGTCCATTTCCCAACACACGGGCATGACCTGGTGAAAAAATCCAAACAATACTCCTCACCCGTGTCTTTCGCAGCGAGGCATGCCACTCTGCAGGAAGCATGCCTGTCCTGACCTTCCTCAGCATGCTTTCTGAGTCAGTTACAATCACAATGTGTGCGTGTGTGTCGTGTTCTCTAGCCAGCGGAAAGCGGCAGTGACCGCCTCCACTTCCATTGTTAAGCTGGATGTTGTGGTATCATATGCTAGGCTCTCCTGCACCAAACGTCGACGATTAACTTTTGCTAAGAAACCCCAAGCACTTCTTTTTGCCTCTTGACACTGAACCGTCTGTGTAAATGATCGAATCTTCTGAGCGAGCATTATCTTGAATTAATTGCTGAATTTCCACCTCTGTGGCACCTGCTGGCCAGTCTCTGCATATCCGGCTCAGTGTAATTATGACCCTCCCATTGTACAAGTGTAAATGATATCACCTTCAATGTACACATATACCATGTCCTTTGTATATATGATAACACCTTCATTGTACACATAGACCATGTCCATTGTAAATATGATATCACCTTCATTGTACACATGGACCATGTCCATTGTATATATGATATCACCTTCATTGCACACATGGACCATGTCCATTGTATATATGATATCACCTTCATTGTACACATAGACCATGTCCATTGTATACATGATATCACCTTCATTGTACACATGGACCATGTCCATTGTATATATGATATCACCTTCATTGCATGCATCAGTGACCTCCATTGCACACACGGATCACTCCGAATGCACACATGGATCACCTCAAATGCACAAATGGATCACATCCAGTGCACACTTCAGTCACCTTCATTGGACACATTGATCACCTCAAATGAATCACATACATTGCACACATGGATACCTATGTACATGCTTCAGTCGCCTCTCATACATCACACTATGATAATGTATGCACAGTGCATTTACAATCTAGGGCTGGTAAAAATCAAACTGTGTTTTAATCAGAATTACATGTGTAAAAATATTCTTTGTTATTCAAAACAATGTTATCCCATTGTAAGTTTAAATCATGTGGTCAAACAGCACATTGCACTCTTTTTAGCCTAGCATATTCTGCTGTTTCTCGTCAGGTGAATTAGTCTTCTTTTTCTTCTCCATAGTGTTCCCTGGTTCTAATCTCTGATGGAAAGTTCTGGTTGTTCATCCACTCATGGACTTTGGTCTTATTCCAGAATATGAGTTTTACATGCACATGAAGTTTCACAGATCTGACTTTTTTTGTATGCACACTGTTGGTTCCTTGCCTCTCGGCCAGGTGCACTCTGACTTTGGAGGAAGCAGCCCTAATTAATCACCTCCTATGACATGCTTGTTGGGGTACGGGCAGTGGGTATGTTCTTAGCTTTCCAAAGTGGAGCCCTGGAACGGACATAGGAAGGCTCATTACTAAAGAGTTGCATCAACATATCTCTAAAAGTAAGTAACAAATGGTTGTTTAAAAAAAAAAAAAAAGCTGAAGATGATAACTTGAAAACCATTATTTTTTACTCATACATTATTCATTTATTTTTCATAATAATTTACACCAACATTGATGCACTTGTCCCATTGTTTTATCAGTCCTCCCAAACCTGCTGCATAGAATTGTGTGCTCTGTTTTCTAAACCACATTTTTACTTCACATTTAACTTCTGCTTCATTCATGAAATGTCTCCCACCAAGATGGGTTTTCAGTGGACCAAAAAGATGAAAATAGCTAGGGGCTAAGTCTAGGCTGTAAGATGGATGTTCCAGAAGTTCTCACCCTAGATGGTTAATTTTCTCCTGAGTTAACCGAGCTGTATGTGGTCTGGCATTGTTATGAAGGATCAATACTCCTCTAGTCAACAGGCCTGGATGTTTTTTTTGAATTGCATCATGAAGCATCGATAGTTCTATGAATCAGCATTCACATTTTAACCTGTATTGTTTGTTTGTTTTTTCAAATTGGTTTAAAGCACTCCTTGACAATCCAAGAACACTGTCAGCATAACCTTCTCTGCTGATGGGGCAACCTTAATTTTTTTTAAACACAAGGCCAAGAAGGATGTTTCCATTCCATTGAAGCATGCTTTAATTTGAGCTAGTAGTGATGCACCCGTGATTCGTTCCCAGTAATAATACTGTTCAGCATGTCTTCTTCTTCATCTGCGTATCAACAGAGATGAGAGATGCTGCGAGGACAGACCTAATCGGTTCATTTTATGTTCATACCCACCTTAAACATACTTTCTTAAATTTCAATCAATCATGCATTATGTTGTATGCTGAACCATGTGAGCACCCTGTTGCAGCTGCTACAATGAACTGTTACTCGCCTGTCATCTTTAATCATTCCCCCCTACCCCTTGCACGGATGCGTCTGTTGCAATTTCAGCCAGATGATCAGATGAAATTTTTACCCAGCTCTGCACCGCTTTACAGGATAAAAAAATTTTCAGCATAAACAGAAAGCATTTCCTTTTACATGGTGAGATAATTTGCCTGGTCTGGAGGGGTGGAATCTACTGTTCTCCTCTCTACTCTTCCCCAGGAGTTTGAAAGCTTTGTGGAGCTACATGAAGAGGCAAGGAATCAATACAAATCTTATATGGGAGACCATTAGAGACCTCATCATTAAAACAATCATCAGGTAAGTTTGTAAAATTTATTGTCTTTGCTTCCTCATAGAGGTTCTGGACCCTACTTTAGGGTAAAGATAATAGACCTACTGACCCCTTTACAGGCTTGTTGTAAAAGCTGACTAATTAGGAGTTTTCTGAAATCAAATGTCGGTACTTATATCACGAACCTACCCGCATGAGCCCGCATCTCGCGATTTGCTGTTGACTCCAGATCATGGCCTTGGCCATTCCCATGGGCTGCAGCATATTCTAGGGGTGTCAGTATACAGCGATTCTCCCTACACACTGTGCGGAAAATCGTTCCAGGCCTAACATGAACAAATTGTGCATGTCTTTTTCCTGGTACGCACACTGAGTGATGGGGTGATTTTGTTTGTCTTCTTCTTGTTTTGTTTGTTCATGTGCGTGAGCAAGTGTTCGACTAAGATTTTATATCTCCATGAACTATGTTTCTTCTGCAGCTGTAACAGGTGTGAGAATTGGGGGGATTTTGGGCGGGCCTAAAAAAAGCCATCTGAAAGTGTGGGGGGGGGGGGGGGGGGGGACGTTGTGGTTAGGTTCTATGCACATATATTATTCTGATTAAGATATTTATTTTTTGTAGTTTTTTCATCAATAAGACAGAACCTAAGATTCTCCATAATTTTCAAAATATAACCAAGAAACCCAGGTGGCAACTAAATAAAAACCAGATCTTGGGGTGGGAGGGGGGATGGATCCAGAATTGGCAGCTCTGAGTTTACACATGTTGTGTTTTTGCAGAAAAGCGATGCTGCTCTGCAAGTTGTGCATCAGTACTGATAGTGAGGAAAATTCTCATGCTTCAAGTCAGCAAGTAAGGTCGCAGTGGATAGCAATGAACACCCAATGCAGAAAGCTGTAAAACACACAGTGCTGCCAGTCGCTGACCTTGATATGGGAAAAAGAAGGTGTTACTGGCTGCTCACGATGTGGAACAAAGAACACTAAGAGCATTAAAAAGAACACTTAGAGCATTAAAAATAACACTTAGAGCATTAAAAAGAACACAACCTGACACCCCTAAACCAAACAGCAGCTCAGTGGGAATGGCCATGGCCATATATGGGAGCTGACAGGAAATCTGACAACCTGGCGAGACGCAGCTCATGAAAACTACTACAATCGCAGCCTAGCTGTAAACCGCAACACCTCATGCCAGCCACCTTTTTAATGCTGAACACAGAAGAAGCAGATAAAGATATACTAACAATGGTATAAAGGCCATAAATATATATATTTTTTTGTTTAGATTATCTGTTAGTGCCAATTTCCATAATGGATGTTGACTGCAGTGCATCTCAAAAATTCTACTTTTTCTCTCACCCTGTTTGCCCATCTCTTGATATTACCATTCCACTTGTATCTATGTCCACCTCTTGTCTATAAAAGTTCAGTTCCCCCTCTAGTTGATCTTTATTAGCATCCCATGTCTTAGAATACTTCATGTCTCTTATTAATTTATATCATTAACGTTATTTTCATTTTTCACAGCTCCAATAGAACCTGTGTATTTCATTGTTGTTTTATTTTTAAAGTTAAAGAAAGACATTTGCCAAATCTTTGCAGTACCTTTCGGAAAGAATTATTTTAGACTATAAAGTATGTACTAACTGACTGACTTGTTTCTGTCAGTGGTGACTCAGTTATCTGTAGCATGACCAAGTTCAACACCAGCAGCAGATACTGTTGCCATGAGCTGTTTGGGTTTGATATCCTGTTGGATGAAAACTTCAAGCCATGGATCTTGGAAGTCAACATCTCACCAAGGTATTTCTGCCTGAGATCATGTGTCAGAGATGTTTTAGGGGGAGACCCAGGTTCCAATCCTTGGTATAGCTGGGGATTTTTTCTGTCGAGGGCAAAATAAAATTCTCACCTGCATGGCTGTGGCGATAGCACTGGCCATGCGGTCGTAAATTCTCAGGCTCACAGATGACCCCCACCACCTACACTGCAAAAGTAGTATAATAAAGACAGTAATTTGCAATAGGCAGATGTCTTGGGGCATGGCTATTCAGCTTAGTAAAAAAAGTAAAGGACCCTTTTCCACGCCTTTAGGCGTATAGGGCATATAGGGCTAGACTTATATTTTACAGGCCAGTCGGCACAAGATGGGTGATGTGGTCAGCATCATGCTGGCCACCTTTATATCCGCGGACTGCACCCGGTACCCACTAAAGGCTGGGTCGACCTGGGAGCCAAAGAGCGAATCCATGACCTTCTGATCCACAGGCGAGCATCTAGCCGCTCTGCCACGGCAACTTCCCCATTCAGCTTAGTTTACTCAGGAACAAAAATGTTGAAAATGGGGATCATCATGGGCCAGTGGCCTGGGCCCCAGCATAAAAAGATCAATAATACACAATCCAACTCTCAATGACCTGGGAGCCAGTTGCTGTGCCTCCATGGGCCAGATTGGGCCTGCAGACCTGTCTTAGGGGTTTATTATTAGCCTCGACAAATGCCTGAAATATTGATAAATTATCATTTAAACTTACAATTCTATAGTGTCCCCAGAGTCAGGTCGTGGTCACACGACTGAGTTACCGTATAACCGTAGTTGATACTGTCTGTTCTCTGTTAATGTACAATTTTGGGCAGCACATACACAATCTGACATCCCACTTCTGTGGATGGATTTAGGCATAGGAGTGCACTGGGGAAGATCTAGAATTATCATAGGAATAGGAAGTGCAGCTTCAAAATTTAATGGTATCACAGGGTTTTTCTTTAGTTGGCAGCTGGTCTAGGGAGGAAGTCCTGACAGGCAGACAGAACACTGCTTTTCTGATCCGGCAGCTTTTACAGCATGCTTTGTCCAAACGTAAAAGTGTAACATATCATATGAAGTTAACAAAGCAGGCTGAGAGAGGTATCATGCTGTGTGGGCAACATATGGTCGCTACAGTACTGCCCAGGCTTTGTGCCTTAAATGGTACTCCCTATGTGGGTTCAGGGCCCTATTATGGGGAAAACAAGAATAGACCCACTGCCTAGCCAAAAGAATGTCTTAAGAGTCAATTAATTGGAAGCTTCCTTTAAAGTCGGAGTAGAGTACATCTGCTTGAGAGGCAAGGAACCAACAGTCTGCATGCAGGTTAGTCAGATCTGTGAAACGGATGTAACATGCAACACTCAATTTCTGGAACAGGACTAGAGTCCAGAAGTGGACGAACAACCAAAACTTTCCACCGGAGTTTACAGCCGGTGAACGCGAAGAAGAAGAAGATTTCTTAAAACTCAGAAATCATTTCTGAAATGTTCAGTACATTTCTCCACTTGCTGAACGCACACACAGGGTACATTAATATAAGTACACTAGGTTGCCAATGTAAATTTCAAACCTCATTTCATGGAACAAATATCTAGATAGCTAATTACATACTAAATGATCACTCACTATAGTCAGCACATCTTTCCAAAATTATATTTTGCAGAGTAGGGACCAATGATACATCAGTTTCTCATGCATTACAAATAATTGTCTTAATATTTTTTTTAAATTACAAAATACATTTTAAAAAAAACCTTGGCAGCATTTGAGTTCAGATTCATGAGAAACTGCTCAACGATGATGACTTACAGACAGTGAAAATGAAAAGAGAGGCAAACTATGTTAATAATGTACAGAATATAAAATAGTCATAGGGAATCCCTAAACACAAAAATATAAACTCTCCTGCTGTGTATACTTCGTCCTTACCCGCAAAGGACTGTAGATTACACCTGGCCGGTGTAGCCATTACAGGTGTCATAATTGTTACTTTTTTGGAGGATTAACAGGGTATCTGGGATCTACCCTTTTAGTTTGCCATCCAGACATAGGTTTTTTAATCTCAGGTCTGTATGGTAAATCTTTAGGTGGCAGTTCAGAGGGGATAAATTTATCAATCGGTCAGTGCATCACTTAACTTAATCCACAAGAGTAATTAGGTGAGATTAAATGAGACAATCAAATTCGCATTAGCAGCCAAGGATTCTAGATAGTTAGCTTTAAGTTTGAAATTGTGAATTGCTGTCTTCACTCGTGTGAGTTCTGGTGCCCCATTTTTAAGGGAAAGAGAACAGAACCAGTGCCCTTTCATAAGCATGATCTAAAATGGGACTATAAGATTTGTTGAAATTATATGTGTTGAACCAAAAGGTGCAGATGTCACAACCTAGCTGTGAACCATAATACAACATGTCAGCTGCCCTTTTAACCCCTTTACCCTGGGAACATTTGAAAAAAAAATGACCTTGCTTAAACTCCAGAAAATATTATTTTGTAAAAAATTAAATAAATCTTTACATGTCACTGATAAATTCGCTAAAAATGTATTTATCTACACTTAAAAATTACTTTTACAATATATAAATATAAATGAAAGTCTTATCTATAAATGTGAACAAGGTGAAGCATTAAATGGAAAACATCCCCCTGGGCCTAAAAAACAGACATGTGTTGGATGGCTTATGCCGTAAACCCACGACCTCTATCACTGCGGCTTATGAGTAAATCTGATGTCAGCTTTGCTTTAAAATAGCCAATAATCTCAAAGGAAAACCCCCCAAATTTATTGTAAATTAATGTACTATTATCCTGAACTCCTAAATGTGTACAAACTCAGCATTAACTATGCGTCTTGTAAACAGATAATTATAGATGAGTCGGAAAAGTAAGATTTACTAGCAATTGGACCAAACCGGAAGTGTCTGTTTTTTGGCTTTTCGTGGCATAAGGGTTATGGATAAACACACAAAAAACACACCCAAAAAGGAGAAGAAAAAGAACTGCTGTGTCTAGACACGATAGCAGTTGTTTGATTTTAAAATTAATTACATTTAATTGATTCTGGTTCTAAGGTTGTGTCAGTTTATTTATTCTTTTTTTTTACTGTTCTGGTAAATGATTTGGGTTTATTTTTTTGTTCAGCCTTCACTCAAATTCAGAGTTGGACATTAATATCAAGGGAGCAATGATCAAAGACATGCTGAACATTGCTGGTTTCAGATTGCCAGACGAGCGTGATTTAAGTAGCAGCCATGCAAATACA